GAGCACACGTTCTATGATATACAAGGTCATCAGCTCGTGTTGATGGATTTGAGGTACAGTACATTAGAATCCGAATGAATGATTGAATTATTCGGAAATTTACGTTGTAAGGGTTTAGTGTAGAATTCTGCAAAATTTAAATATAGGGATGTTCCCGTCCTCCTAAGTTCGTAAGATTCTTCATGTCGAGCGTCGAATTAAGAAACATAAAACCGAGAAGGAAGAAATAGAAGTGCTGTACAGTATGTAAATGCCGCATTTGACGCATGTAACTCAAATATAAGGACCACTTTTTCCGATTTTGATCATAAAATAAAATCTCGTTACAACAACTCCCATTAGAATGCATTTTTCAATATAACACTTTCTCTCAACTCTCGACAGGAAAGACCTAGAGTACATTTTAGATTGATCTCGTTATAGCAAACTTGTTAATTATATTCTCCTGGTAGAAATTTCCTGACGAAGGCAGGCACAGTCTGAAATTTCTGATACCAAATGTGATGACTGTTTCTTGTAGCATGGATAGAAGCTGTAATCAATGACTAACCTGCTTCGTTGGACATCATCCTCCCAGAATGAGGAGATTTTCACGTGATCCTCCCATAATGAAGAGATTGGTGCAACTGTTCGAATGTTTAATCAAAGCTATTTTTTCCTGAAGATCACTCAGTTTTTCAAATATTAATAGGGAATCTGAGAATGCCAGAAAATCAAGATCTAAAGGTTGTAGGCAGTTCTGATGTGAATATTATTTCCAGTTATCAATTTTGAAAATCTCATAACAAATTATTCGGTACAGTGTAACAAACTTCTTGTGAAGTGCCCACAAGTTTGTTGTAACGAGATTTTACTGAAGTGCGTCTTGGATTTGCATGGAAAATGATGTTGGATAAAGATGTTTACATCTTCTGAGCTGGTCAGATTACCTTATTTTCAATCTGAGCGATGTACAAGATTATCGCATGAACTAAAATGGAGAAAAATTTCCATCTTGGAAATAGAAAAAGTTGGGAAGCATCCATAACATTTTTCGCTGCGTAATACTGTGCAACTCGTTTTTCTCTGTTGAAATTGATGTCGTTCATCTTCTGGTTTCTTCAGAACCTGCAAAGGAATTAAAAGTTGGATGAAAGAGTACGAAAGACCGGGCTGTTGCATTGATGCTGACCGTGGAAATTTGATAGTTACTGGATCTCTGGACAATGGTTTGGTGTCTTTGTGGGACAGACGTTGTTGTCGGGAACAAGTCACGGTTAGTTCTCTACAACGCCTGAATCTTTTTATTTTATGCGTAATCGAAAACTTTTTTTTTCATCAATTAAGCAAATCCATGTTGATGGCTTTGAGTGGGTGAGCAGAGTTTCGTTCAGTCAAGATTTGCTTTACATCGGAAACGAAAGTTCAATGGAGATCGTGGATTTTTACGGCTTCCAGAAGCGTTGGGACGAATCTATCACCAAAAAAACTCTTTCCTATCGGATCAGGAAGTATTGCGGCGTTTGTTGACAGTTCATCTTTCCGTCTCTTACGTGGCGCGTGTGTTAATTTTTCGTCATTTCAAGTTTTGTTAATGTTTTCCAAAGTTTGTAGTTTATCGATGGAAACAACGCACAATATTTTTTTTTTTTTTTACCGTGGAAAGAAATTTTCGGCATTCTTAATTGTGTAGAGCAAAAAGTGACGGTTTTGAACGGACAGTTTTTTTTATTGTGAATATGCATTCGAGCTTAGGAGACCTGGAGAATTTTAACGATTCTCGTCTTCAATGGATCATGGGAGGGCTTAAAGATGTACAAAACTGCCGTCGGTTTTCTTTTATATTTTTTTACTTGTAGTCATTTGAAATATTTCTTCGAAAGAGGACGCATTGGGGCTTGATTGATTGATTTTTCGGAAAAAGACATCGGTTGTGAAACCTTCATCATATTGTTGAAAGTAAATAAAATGGAAGGTCTGAGGTTGTGTGCATTTGTGAGGAAGGACGCATTCCGAAATGCGTTTAATAGCATTTTTGTGGCATAAGGTTTTTTTTCGAATACGTGTGCCATTTCGCAAAATTTAAAATACGAGCTTGCAGCCTCCGAATCGTCTCTCAGGAAATCGCGATGAGTCTTCGTTCTCGGAAAGTATTTCGAACGAATGGATCCAACGAAAGTGAATTATTTGTGTATTCAACCGTGTTTATAGATATTTTTGGTTACCGAGGTATTTTGGAAAGAAAAGTACGTATGTATTGATGTTTCGTCCTGGTCAGAATTCATTTTTTTTCCTAGTCGCGAACAAAGTGCAAGCATATGTTTGATATTGTTTTCCTCCTCCCAATAGAATGAGTCAGCAGTTGCTGAATGAGGCCCATATATTGCAGTTGCCGGTTGAACTGATCCTGTGCATATTGGAGTATTGTAGCGTTCGAAGTCTCGGTCGAGAGCGCGTCAGAACGTTCAAAAAGGTTCTAAATAATCGGTGACTACTTTAGACCGAGGCGGCCCGATTTTCTAAGCCTCCTAAGGAAAAGGTCAGCCAATTAGGCTAAAAGTGCTCTTCCAACCAGGAAATCTTCTCTTCAATTGTAGAAATCGATTGATGAAAAAGCTTAGTGGCCATTTTCCGATAACCAATTTACTAAGACTTGAAATGCGTTAAATAATTTGTTGACGAAGGCTTCCATCTAGTTATTGCATTGGATGAAATCGTTTTCGAAAATTTTTCACTCAAAGCGGAAAATGGTTCCTCAAAAATTCTCATTTACATTGAAAGCGGAACCAAGCGGACATTCCAATTTTCTGAATCATCGAACTATTCAGAAATTGAAATAATATGTGTAGTTCAGCCTCCGAATCGTCTTTCGAACCTGTCATTTTTCGAGCCTTTTCAAATTTTTCGACTCATACGAAGCTAAAATCAAAATCAAAGAGCATCCTAACCGTATATGCTTAGGAAAAATTTTGGATTGATTTGTTGAGCAGATGAAAAAAAATTTCCTCATTAATGAAATTGTAATACTGTAGTAATTTTTAATTGGATACTTTTTTCTTTATCCGAAAATCAAAAAAATTTGAATTTGCAGCAATTTCTATGGAATACCTGTGTCGAATTTGAAAACGGATAATGAAGCTGATTGGAATGGATAAAAATAGAATTTGTATGATACTTCGGCTGTTGTCGAATGATTCTTTCATCGATAAGTTCGAAATTCTATTCCATAGCATTTGCATAAATGTTGCACCGGTTTGGAAATTTCAAGCCAAATTTTATGATCTGTAGCAGCTTGAATTTGACTAACGAACTCACCTGTAGACATACAGTACTGTATACTAAAGTACCCGAAGTTAAATTAAGTTAATGTCCATCGGATAAGTTTTTCAAAACGAAAGGAGTTTTTTTTATGAAATTCTTTTTTCTAAATTTTTCTTGAAGATTTTGAAAGTCTGGTACATAGGATTGACGGTGTTCCGCAGCGGTTGAACTTCTCAACTATTGAAAATAAAGAAACTCTTTTTTTCGTGTATGTGTTAGTCTGGTGTGTATTCGCAATCCTTTTACGAACTCTTCGGTCATTTTCCGTACATGTTTCTCTTCAGAAACTGGTTGTCATGCGGTGCGAAAGAGAAGACCCGTTTAGAGCAGAACTGGAATCAAGGAGTCGCTCAGTACCATGTTTTGCGGGCTGGCAAAATCAAATTCATGCCATACCTCGCGCAAACAAAATGTGGAAGACTATGATAAATGGATGGTAAATTGGTGAGAGAAATGCCCAAGAACTTTTCTTACATCGATTTTAGGGTTAGAAACATCTGGTTCTTGTAATTTGGCCTGAAACTTATTTGCGATTTTATCACAAAATGTCCTTATGTTGAGTGAGTGTCCTCATGTAGGGCCTTTTTTTATAAATTTTTTTATGGGAAAATAAGTGTCCCTATGTTGAATTGTCAGCAGGTCTAGGAACTCTAGGTGTCTGCATGTGAGGGTCTCACTGTAATGGCCTGAAGGTCTTTGAAAATTCGATTTATTGGGGTTTGAAAGGAAAAACCTTCGAGGTTGGGAGGTTTTCAATGCATTGTTTCTAAGGGAATTCAGACAGGGACTTGAGAAAATTCAACTTAGGGAAGTTCGAGTTATTGAGGTTCAACTGTACTTTGTTGTTGGGCAATCTATTCTCTGGGGAAATGTGTCAACTGATTGAAAGCTAAAGATGTATGGTTATGCAATTATGGCCAATTTTTTTTGTGCAAAAACTCGACAAAGCGCCTCATCCTTGTTTTGTTGGAGATTTTTTTGTTTTTTTTCTCATGGATATTTTGAAAATGTTAAAATTTTTGTATCTGTTTTTTCAATTGCAGAAATTCCTTACAGAAGAATCTGCCAAGGGGAAGCAGTTCATTACGTTTTTGGACAACTACAAGACTGAGGTTCCTGACATAATCGGACAATACAGACATGAGTGTCACGAGGATTCAAGTTCATCAAAAGGTAACTTTTTTATATGATCCCTGTCCCCTCGAACCGTGATAACTTACCCAATGTAAAATTGAGTAATTGAGTTTTCAGTGGCTAAACCCTAATTTCCCTTTTTTTTTTCTCTTTTCCTAGCGTGTTGTCCGTTGCGTGGGAACCCGCGGAGACGTTGCAAGGCCTGTTGGTTGCGTGCGGGCCTGGAGAACCTTTGCGACCTCGACTTTCGGACATACAAGGGCATGATGTTGTGCTTGCCGGAGCATATGCATGTCAAGTTGCCGCCGCGATTTCGGTTTGCCGACAAGGCAAAAAGAGGCGCTGCTGCTGCTGCTGACGACGACAACGACGACGACGACGACATCGACGACGACGAGCATTACGGGCATTTGTTGGAAGAGGTGGATGATCTGAAGTTTGCAGAAGGGGTGGATAGTGTCGAGTTGCTGCATCTTTGTGAGTTTTCAAAGAAGTTTTGGTGCGTGTGTGTGTCTGGGAGAAAAGTGGAAGATGATTGGTTTGTAAAAGATGATTAACTGCCACTTGCCGTCATTGGAGGCGGATGCAATTTTTTTCTTTTGCTCTTCAGTTCTTCATTGGTGTCCATAAATTTTTCATCAATTATTCAGCTACAGAAGGAAAAAAAAGACCTGGATCACAGTGAATCCCCTCAACTGAAGTGGAGTTTAATTGATCAAGAGCAGCTGAATGCACACTTGCATGCTCTATGACTTTGGGGGTTATATGGTAAAATTCACTTCAGTGGAGGGCATTCACTGTGATCCAGGTCTTTTTCTTGTGTCCTTCTGTAGCTGAAAATAGTCAATGAAAAATTTACTAGACACCAATGAAGAATGGAAGAGCAAAAGAAAAAAATTGCATGCGCCTCCAATGATGGCAAATGGCCGTTTATCATCTTTTATAAACCAACCCGTGTACTGTATATTAGCTAGAGGTTGAATTTTTCACGTCTTGGGTGAAAACTCACATTCTGACGATTTTTGTAATGATTGCTGAGCTACATGATGAATTACTGCACTATTATTTACTCGATTTCCACGCGCACCTTTTTTTTTTTTTTTTTTTTTTTTTAGCTAAAATTTAGGCAACAATTCTATACCCGCATATGACGTGCGCTTCAATTTTCAATCCCGGAATTCATACGATATTTTAAAAACTAAATGGAGTAAAAATATGAGTAAAAGTCCACTCAAAAATTGACGTATTTAAACGCTGATGTTTTTTCTTTTCTTACGCCAAGCAAAGAATAATTAAAAAGGAACTTCGAAAACATTTTATGTTGGAGGAAAAAGTTTGAAGTTATGTACAGTATTAGAAAATTTTACGCAACTATAACGTGCACCTCATGTTTTGCCTTTGTTTTTTTTTTTGGAAGCAATTTGCGTGTGGAACTCCAGTAAATATGGTACTGCCGTGTGAATATTCTTGGAATGCCATGTGTGTCTTTGTAATCTGGTAATCTTTTAACCTCACCAAACATAATTTAATCTTAATTAGGTCTAAGGGAATGGAACAAGATTCAGGCAACACCACACTGTACGGTGTTATCAATGAAAATCGCCAGACTCAATAATTAGAACTGTCCCGCGCTCGTGATTGCTGTTTGACCCAAAAATAAATAAATGAAGGATTTTGGATACGCGGCGATTTTATTTTTACCAAGTTCATTTTGAATCTGTACAATATTTTTCATCAAGAACTGGGAGGTGCGTGAGGCAATGGGAGGATCCTTACTCCTCTTACATTTACTCTTTGGACACGGATCGAGGAAACCTGGTTGTCGCTGGATATGCCGAAAATAGCATAGTTCGAATTTTCGACTGTCGAACTGCCGTGCCCGTGAAGGTTTGTTCAATTTCTTCTATTTTGTTATCAGAAGCCTATTAGGGAATAGGATATCATATTTCTGTTTTTTTTTTAATTAAAATTCTACGAAAACTTCTGCAGAAATTTTTAAGATTTTACCTCGGGTCGCATTGTTCACGACACAGTCGGAAAAATCTTCCTAAAAGAGGGTAACAATTTTTCATCCAGGGTTATGTAGAAATTTGTTGGACCGCTCGCTGCATAGTTAGCCTTCGACAGCAGCGTTTTCCTATTTCTTGAATATTCCTCTTGCGTTTCCCTCTCAGGAAACCCCTTCAAAACTTGTTACAGCGTGACGGAGATGTAATTTTTCTTCATTCTTCTTAGAGCCAGCGCATTTCTTGGATTATTAAGTTTATTTTGTATTTGCAGGAAATGTACGTGACGAGGTTGAGATCGCCGATCTACAGCGTCTCTTTCGACACGTGTGCAATTTATGCTGCGCTGGATGTAGCGTTGATGATGGTGGATTTTAATCACTGTGTCAAACATTATCGTGTCAATGCCGACACAGCCACGCTTCACTGCGTGAATTCTTCATTCGTCAAGGAAGAAAGACTTCCGCGAAATCTTCGCCGAGGCTTCAGATGACCATGACAATGATCACTGCCTTCAATCCATGTTTTATTTTCTAAAATGTTTCTACTAACGAAAAGAAAATGTACCGTTTCTCGTTACCGAATGCTTCGTGATGTGTGAATTTTTTTTCTTGAATTGCACAACTTGGAAAGTGAAGGAGAAACTTGTCGAGCGATAAAATGGATATATTTTATGCATCTGTTTTGATTAATCAATGTTTGCTTTTATTAATCTTGATTTATTCGTATTCCTCATACTGTACTCGTTTTTTATTTAGTAAAAGTTGAATTCAGAATGGAGTTCTATGAAAAAGTGCGGTTGGATGAGGGATCTCGTCAAGACGTTGAAATGGAACCGCCGTTTCAAGATTTGAATTTGCCGCCGGAATGCGTTGTTTGGGTGAATGTGAATGCTTCCATGCGCATCGGGGATTTCATGAATCTTTGCTTGAGGTGAGTGTTGATCTTGCTGACATTTCTTACTGAATGTAAAAGAGAAGAAGTTTTTAAAACAATCTTGGCATTGTGCAATTTACCTGATCTCTTTTCCACAATACAGTATTTTTGTGAAACGAGCCCTTTCTACGATTCATTTTCTAAGAGATTATTTTTCAATTTGCTCCATGTATTTACTGCCGTTTTTTATCTATCTCAGGGTATTTTCAATTGCAAATTTAAGCATACCGGAAAGGTTTGTGTTTCCAGTGAATAGACGTTTTTTTAACCCTTTAAATAAAATTATGATCCAATTACCAGGATGAAAATACTCAATCTACGAGGTATTGCCTGTGCTTACGTTCCATTCGATGAGGCTTGCAAATTCATCAAACGGGAATGTCGACGAAATTTGAGATTACTGTACTGGTTTACGTCCTTTGGTTTTTGAAGACATTTTTGTGGAAAAAGCGGGAAACTTACTAATAACGTGTCGAAGCAACTTTTGCCCCTTTTTGCATTTCGATTGGCGTATGTGCAGTAATTAAAATTTTTTCAACAGCCCTTTGAAGAACGGTGACTTCGTGATACTTTCCGCCAAGGGTCAAGCTACTGCAACTTTGGTGCAACATGCCGAGTCCTTGAAGCTCAGAGTTCGAGGTCTTCATCAAGTCACTCGCATGTGCTACGAAAGGTGTGATATTCGGAAGAACTTGCTATTTTCTGGCTCAAATTATTTCCAGAATATGAGAGTATATGAGGGTGAATTCTTCTTCTGCGAGGAACTAGAATTTTTCGCTTAAATACTCGATTTAGTTGCGAGGATGATTGAAAAAGGCCTTCGTTATAATGTTTAGAAAACCTAATTCTCATCAGGATTTATCGTATGTTCATTTGATGTAGGTGTCGAGGCCTGATAAAGTACAGTATGTATTTTTTTACGCTTCGTTTTCATTAGGACAATATCAGTTTTTCTCATAGCACTCAATATTCTATGTTCGCCAATAAATAAAATAATCTTACCGCGCTTCTGTTGAATTGAAGTTTGATCAAGTTACCTACGTTCAGATTGATAATATCGAGTTGACTGAAATGAAAAGTTGAAAACCTCGTCTTGATGTCGTCAGCGCCATTTCTCCACTTGGATAGTGGGGAGTGATTCTCTGATTCCAGGATCAGATGAAATACAGTTCCTTAAACAGTACCGTATCTTACTCTGATGGCAGCAGTGTCCAAGGGTTTTAAATTTTGTTATCTTTTCCGAATCAATCGAATTAATGAGCAGCTCTTCCATATCTTCTCATTTATGCCGTCTGCGTAAATTGAATGTAGAGTGAATGTCTTTCAATGACCGAAATAATTTTTTTAAAGATGCGAAGACCTGTGGAAGCCGCTTGAACCTGGGTTGGACTCCCTGAAAGTTTTGCGTGAAGTTCCTGCGTTGCACATTCTTCTTTCTACCGTTCTCCCGAATGAAGGTGTGACATCGGACCCGGGGTGAGTTTTGATCGTTTTTCAACTTCGGTGATCGATTTTGTGACATCGTACTGTATTTTAGAGGGCTTTTAGTGATATCTGGGATACCTCTTGTGACAAACGATGTAGATGCACAAATTAGTCGATAATACCGAATGAAGCAGCAGAGTTATTCTAGGGAATCAACAAGATGTGATGAAAAAGTTTTCAAAATGTTTACAGCTATCTTTATCAATTTTCGAGGAAGCGGAAGAACTCCAGCAGTCGTATTGTTTTTTATGTTTAGCCCAAGCACAGTGGAAAGACTTATATATTAATTTCGACAGCGATTTGTATCAACTTTTGAGGAAGCGGAAAAATTTCAACTGTCGTATTGTTTTTTTTTTATGGTTAGCCCATACGTATTGAAGAGACTTCGGTCAACTGTGGATATGTACTGTACAATATATTGGTCTCACGCCGAATTTGACAGCGCGAATATATTTTGCATTATGCTAAGTTTCACCCAACGAAGCTACAAAAGTTCGGATCCGAAATGCAGCACTCGTCCAGAATATTGTAATTATTATTTTTTTTATTTGAAATGATGGAGTTGGATTATGCGAGAAAAAATGCGTTTGCGAGCGCTTGTCTTGAACGGAAACGACGCAATGCTGCTTGACTTCTGCACATTTGTCTCATCGCCATTCATCACTTTTTAATTAGTTATTTTAATTTTGTTTCATGGGATAGTTATTCCTGTCCGACCAAATCAGAACAACCACGGTCGAATAACAAATCGAGGAATTACCGGGACAAGAGGCGAACCCATCCTCAAGACCGTGCCTGTTGATATTCATTGTGATTATTGTATTCCAAGAAGCTGTGATTCTTTTTCCTATTACACGAGTGCTTGTTGTGTGTTCGACGATTATTGAGGCGTGTTTCAGTCTGCCGGTTTTATCTTGTGTGTTATCCAATATTTCGAGGTGGAAGAAGAACGCGCGGAAAAAAGCATCCCGCATTTTTTTGTTTTTGCGTGGAAAGTTTTGGGCGATTATCGGGAAAACGTGCCGGAAGTTGATCCCTAATTTTTAGGGAATGTCCGTACGTCTGCCATTGTTGTAACTGGGCTTTTCCAACTTAATTCGTTCCTTAGTTTCATCGGGAATGGAAAATAACTGACTTTTCTCCCTGTAATAAATTTGTGGGATTTCAGCATTATTAACACGATGGAGGGAAAATTGTACTTCGTAGAAATTTGATGGCAGCTATGTAAGTACTGTACCTCTGCGGAAATGTTTCTTACGAAGCTTTTCGTAATTTCTACAATTCTACCATTCTCAGCAGTAAAAAACTATCTAATCGCTCTGTGGCATTATTTATGAAGCCCTTCAAAAAAAAATAACTGTAACTCATGGAACTTCTGTGACTAGCATGTGAATTATAGTTTTTTGTCTTCGGGAATGATTGCCACACATTATTGTGGCAATCTTCATCTTCTTTTCTCTGAAATGAAGATGTCCGTATTGCATTGTGGTATGTGGTAATACATGAGTAAATACGGGAATTGAATTTATGTTCTCAAAGTCCAGCGTTGAGAAAATTGTTGTAGCGAAATGACAATTTTTATTTGAACGAATGGTTAATCAACCAATGACAAGATTATCCCCGGAAACCTTCTTCTTCTTCTTTCGCTTCCTGATTTCCTTGTCTGGACTCGGCTGATACGGTATGTAAACGTAGTCTTTGTAGCCCCTCTTGGGATGCTGATGAACCCAATAAATGTGGTCATCGACTGTGTGATAGAAGTCGTCGAGGTATTTTTCGACGACTCTTCTCCTTTTCACTTGTTTCTTTCGCCACTTTCTCAAGTCTGAGAAGTTGTCGTAGAACGGGCCGAAGTGGCTGTAATCTGGACGTTCTCGCGTTACAACGGTTTTCTTCGGGTCACTGTCCAAATCCCGTTTTGTTCGCTGGATTCTCGGCAGGAGGAAGAAGTCCAACTGGGGCCAGAAGCTGGAATGGAATTCCTGTCGAATAACAAGTGCTGGCTTCAGTGAACCGTTTCGTGCAATTTTTTTTGGATAAATTATTTAGCCGAAATATTTTTGAAGTTTCATTTCGCTTTACGCTTAATATGCTCTATGATCTATATTACAGTGTTCCCTAACGTTTTTGGGCCCGCGGACCAGCAAATTTTCGTCGCATTTTTTGGGGACTGGCAGATTTCAACAAAATTTTCTGCGGACCGGCAAAGTTTCGTAAAATTTTGCAGACTCCACAATTTTTTTCTTGTAAGACTTCATGCCAGGCATCTGAAAAGTTTTTGTTTTTCCAAAAGTTGATAGGAACCATGAAGCGGCAGATCAGTGGAATTCAATAAAAAAAATTAAATGGGATTAAAGAATGGTTTATCAGAGTAAAAATATATAAAATAATGTTTTTTCAGGATTTGAAAATTTGTCTGAAGTTCTATTAGGAGGAAAGCCAACCTTTATTGTTCATCAGATAATTTCCATTTTTATTATTTTTCTAACATTTCTGTTGAAGATAAGACTTCGTCGATACTAGTGTTAACATATTATGCTGAGAAAAATTTCCCGCAGACCGGGAAAAAACTTCTGCGCTGGTTCACGGACCACGGGTTTATCACCTACTCAAAGGCTTGATTTGCTGATGAATAAGTGTCGCCTGAATATTATCTTGTTCTTTTTTGGATTTGCTTGTTTTATAGTTTCTGGTGTGTTGGATTTGGAACGCTTCCCTGCTGTTGACTCCGCCAATTTCTGAATTTTCAAGATCATCATTGAAACCATTCCAGACTTGACTGTTCAAAAAAAAAAACAAGTACAAACAACCATAATCCTAAAATGAGTTGTTTTCGATCATTTTACATTTGTATTCGAAATGCTATGTTAGAAGCAAGGAAAGGGTCAGCCATTTTTGCAGTACAGTACTGTAGCAGGGCATTCAGGCGACATCTGCCCACGATTTCAGAAAGCAAATGGAAATCTATAGAGAGCTCCTAATAGAAATATGGATTTTTATTCCAGGTTCAAATCCAGGGTTTTATATCCGAATTATGTGTTCTTTTACACGATTTTCTCTAAGAATTCAATGTTTTTGACGTACTGATGAGAGAAGATCATGAGGTTCCTCGGAAGGACGAACAACTGTTTCTTGAGTATTTTTTATTGCGAAAGCCTTGGCATGAGGAAGGAAGAGTAGCACAAATTTCAGACTGGCGAGTTTTAGGCGATAATCCAAATGCATTCTCCTGGAAATGAGAATGCAGCTGGAAAGCACTGCACTGACTCAAAAAAAAAAAAGATGAAAACACATCATGAGATATGATTGTTTTAAAAGTGGGTTCACTTTGCTTGATCCACTGAGACTTTCAGGTTTGTTCTGCAGACTGCTTCAAAGGACACATATCACCGACCAAAATAAATTCTGTGGCATTTTTCAGAAGATGAAAAAACTATGGAAAAATGATCACTCTCAGGAGAAACACTGTTGGATGAAGCAACTCCCGGCTGGAGGTTGTTGAGCAACTGATTTTTTTTTTGTCCTTTACCTGCTATTGGGAGTGGAGAGGACTGCCGAGTGTTTGAGAGAAAGGAAGAAGAAGGAGCTGTTAAAACTTTCTCTGCTGCATTTCAAGTAACTGGCTGAAACAGTCCAACAAAGAGCTCTTTTTCCACACATACGTAATTTTTTTTATTGTCAGAAAGTTTAGAGCTCGTCCAATTTTACAAAGACTCATTTGTTTGCTGTTTGCAACCAATTTGATGGAACAGCCCAGCCTTACTTTAAAGATCAAATCTTCACAATTTATTCAGGTGTGTTAAAAATTATTTCGAAGAGCTGTAAGCCCGAGTTGCTGCGTACTGTTGAATTTATAATGTGCAATTTATGTTTCTTTGTTCAAGATTACAATGCATAGAACATCCTTTCCTAATTTTGACGGCATTATTGGTTTTTATCCTTTTTTAAATCCAGTGTATGTTGTACAGTACAGGTACTATGGGCTTGGTTTTGTAAAAATGTAAAGATTTGTTTCAATTTTTGGTGCTCTTTGCAGCCAGTTTAATGCAATAACATGTCACCCTCATTTTTAACACAGAACAGTAAAATCTCGTTACAACAAAGCCATTGGGATCAATAAAATAGCTTCGTAATAATAAAAAATTCGTTATGAAGTAACTCATTTAAGCTTATTTATCGATATTGGGCATGAAATTGAGAAATGACTTTCTTTGAAAGTGATTATTTGTTGAAACGAGATTACAGTACTGTATACTGTACCATATTTTAAATGTTGGGGATTTTTTTAGCTGACGTGTATGTAGAAAATATTGAAAATAAATCTTCCCACTGTATTTTAAATGTGAAATGTATTTTTTGTAGTTCGAGATATGTGCTGATAAAAAGAATAAAATATTTATTTTTCAGATCGGACTTCCAAATTGAATTTATTGTTTGAATTATATTTTGTTTCTGATTTCTTCGAAATTAGTCAGTCAATTGTCGTCCTAAAGCCCCCCCCCCCCCTCCTTTGTGCAAAAGCTCAGGGATTACATGTATTCTTGTAATTATTGATGGTTTTAGGTGCAACTCATATTGAAAAATATGAGCCTCTCATTCATATTTTTTTAATGGGGTTTATAAACCTCTTATGCATATTTTACAAAAAAAGGGGGGCATTCCGAGGGGGCTTTTGGTTGGGTACCGAATCAGTTAATCTTCGCAAAAACGGGTCAATACTTGGAGCAACATGTAACCCCACGTTTGAGTATTGTTGTCACCTGACACATTTTCAGTTTCTGGTCGTGATGTGCTTTCCCAAGGAAATGCATTTGAGGACGCTCCTCCTTTTGTTTTTGAAGAAGGGTGCGGTAGTATTGGAATGGAATTTCAAATGTCTCGAAATGAGTCTAGGTGACTCACAATAACTGTTGCAGTGAGGAAAAAAAGGGAACACAGGGTCATGAGGTACGAACTGGTCACTGACAGGGTATTGTTTGAGAAAGTACAGTATTGGAATTTTTCGTTGTATAAAAGTCTCGTCTATTCGGGCATCTGCATTCTGTTATCTAAAATACAGTACCTTGACGGGGAATGTAATCACGAATAGAAAATAAACTACTGTAAATAATATTGTACAGCAGTGCATACACCGCGTATTTAATCGAGTACCACGAGGAGCACCCCTTCCCTTGAATTGAGACAAATTGGGTGCGCTTAGTCCCCGGGGATTAAATTTTCAATGAAAAATCCTTCGTATGGAGGGGTGTAGTCCAAAAGTAAAAGTAAAATCTTTTACTTACTTACTTTTCTTCAAAGCAAAAAATGCAAAAACTACAGCTGATTTGGCAAGAATTTGTCGCAATAAACAGCAGTAGGAATGCGGACGAAAGGGAAAAGTTTTTCCATGTGCTGCAAATTATTATCACGCGATTCGCGCATCATCGCATATACGAGTACATTCACGTTGCTCAGTTTTTTCCCCTCTCGTCATTCTTTCCCACTAATGTAATTTTACGTCAAACTAGAAGACGCGAAAAGAGAAAAAAAGCGGCAAAACACTGTGTACCCGGTGAAAAAAGAGGGACTTACTTTTTGGAGGCCAAATTCCTCGAGAAAAGCTCATCCGAAGGTCGCAAAAAAAAAACTTCCAGAGGCGAATGAAGTAAATTTCGCGAATTTGGGGAACTGAAAATAATAATGCCTGTGTCTCCGTGTTAGCTTATCATGATGCTTGTATGGTACTAGGAAGATCCGTCCCAAGCGCATTCAGTCCCAAACGGTAAGCCCTTTAATCCCCTTTGTCATTGGGGTGGCGCGCCACCCAAACTGACCAGCTTAATTCTTTTGTTATTTCTTGGAACCCGCGGCAGCTTTCCCTGACTTTTGGCGCCATATGAATTTTGGAACTTCTTTAAAATTTTTAAATTGTGTTCCCTCTCAAAAAAACGAAGAAAACGATACCAAATAACATATACTTCGAAAATTTTATAGGAA